TGCAAACCTGGCGCCCAAAAACATTATGGGTAAGGTCCGTACTCCACTAGGCTAAGCTTCTAGCCAGCCGAACTCCACTGTAATCGCACTGAAGTTGCTCATCGAGAGGAGGGCCGTCTCGGCCGCTATTTTGACCCATACGAGTACATCGCCTCCTCTTAAGAAGCGACTCCTCGCCCTCACGCCGCTTCTCCCCTCGCACCACCCCCTTCGCCAGTCAACAATTGCTCAATTATGCATATAATTTTGAGGGCAATTAATTCTTGCCGCCAACTAGCGAGCCAACTAGCCGACCAAGCCGGATATTAATGGACGGAAATGAAATTAAGTTCTGCGCCAAAATGTTAAACAAAACGGAAATTGTCGATGAATTAACTGCTGCATACGCAACAATACAAGCTTAACGTAAAACAAAAACTACAATAACAAAAATAACAATAGAAAGCAGCAGGCCAACGCAATAGCTCAGCATCGTTAGGCCTACAGCCGAGTTCATGCAACAAACTGAGGGTCATGAATAGTTCCAAAAATTGTTGCAGGCGTAGAGAGGCTTTTGTTGTTGTTATTAGCATTAATGTGCATTTAAACCACATAATTGAATTAGCTGCTGTTGCGGCGGCAGCTGCGTTCACTGCGAGTGCATGAACTGCCTGTCCCACCTAATTCGATTAAAGATCCGTCTAGCAACATCGAGATGAGGAGTTCTGATGAGGGGAGTTCTGAAAGAAGAAAGCTCGATATGCCAAGCTCTCTCACAGCTTTAAAAACGAGCTCAAAAAAAGAAGCGCTCCCGGCTCAAAGTGTTGATTAGAGTTTCTAAGCCAAAAATGACCGCTCAGCTACTTAATTAAGGAGTTCTTTGTTTGAGGACAAAATTCCCGGAACCGCATGAGTGTTGCTGAGTAGCCAATTACGTCTGAAATCCTCAAGCATAACAAGAGATTATCTGCCTGAACTCTAGGAAAGTTTAAGGAAAATAGTACCACGAAACAATGCAAAAGAGAGCCTTTCCAGTGTGCTCTTCCTAAAGGTCGAAAAGGCGGTCTGTGGTAGTACTGAGCTGGAATATATCCGTATGGTTATTTCGTCTTTCCAATGTCTCAATCTTTTTGAGGCAGCAAGCGGTTTCTTACGAGTTCCTTCCTTTTATATATTCCTTTGAAGTACTCCATTTTCTCCAACGATTGAATTCAATTCTTTCCTAAGCCTCCTCAGCTTTGTTCAAGACGCAGTAGCGGTCTTCCATTTCATTGGATTTCAGTTGTTCCATCTCACCAAGAGCACTTTGCGGGCGCTGTTCTGCGGCAGGGAGGGTTTCCATTTCCCAAATCTCTCGAATTCCAGTTGTTCCTACAGCTCGTGATCTCCGCTAAGATCTTAGTGAACTCACAATTTAATCTGGTTCATGGACCATACCTCATTTATTGGTAACTTTTCGCAACCGTTGTATACATAGACATACATATTTATATGTATGTACGACTATGTCAACAGCATCTTTGTATGGCAGTCTCGAATCTGACGTCGTAAATTTAATTTAGTGCCAATTTTTTATATAAACAATTTAAAAAATATTTACTCAAATGTTTTATTTTTGTGGCTTCAAGTGACTTCGAAAACAAAATAGTGTCTTAACAGAGAATTCAACTCTACAATACGCTGGACCAGGGAGAAAGTTTTCCATGATGAGAGGAGGATGGAAGAAAAGAAGAGAGAGATCAAAGGTAGATGGCGGACTCCAAGCACAGTCTTCAACTCCAAATCAAACCCACCAGTTATCCGCTTTAATTTGCTGCTGTTAGACGCCAAGTGCAGACAACAAGTGAAGACTGATGGCTGAACAGTTCAACGATTGAACGGTGTATAGTTCTTGCCTTTCCTCTGCTTCCACCAGTGGATGGAGATGGAATGTTTCTGCTTATTCGGTTCACAGCGATTACTGTAGCAATCCTATGATGACCTCCGGTTGAGCGCTGGAGTTCGCTCAGGGTAGAGAAGGTATGTACCCATCTGGAATAGAACCTCATCTTCTTATACTTTCCATCATGTGTTATCAATGTGCTGACTCGTCGGCCAAGCTGCTGCCAACGATAATAATGAGCGATTTAGAGCGCTTGGCCTGTGTTCGTCCAGAGAGTAGCTCACTTTTCAGTCAGCAATTCAGTTCCAGATGGCACCGTCGGCACAAACAACAGAGCATTCGATTTCAACACTCATATTTGGACTTTTGTGGGGCGGAATCTGGTTTCGATATAAAGGAATTTATATACAACTTCCAAGTTTTGACTGACCAACGGGCAGTGGGCGTGCAAAGATGTATGTGTTGACTCCTAATTTGATTACAACAGACGTTCAGTCGGTGCGGTGCCAACGCCAATAAAGAAGAAGCAGATAATCCGTCGTCTGCTCGTTCACTATCAGACCCATTCGTTGTTACAGCTGTCGGCGCTTACAATGCGGCTTTTAAGGCCAAATAAATTTCCCAAATTATTATTGTTTTTTTTTTACAAAAAAAAATTTTTTTATATTAAATTTTTTTATTTAATTTTCGGTAACTTTTATATATATAAATTTTTTTAATTTTCAAATTTTCCAAATATTTTTTTTTTAATTTTGAATTAATTTTTTTACCCTCAAAATTACGAAAAATTTATTTATTTTTTTTTTAATTTATTTTATTTAGATTTTTTTATTTAGTTTTTTTTTATTTAAAAACTTTATTTCGAAAGATTTTCAATTTCTTCGCTTCATAATTAGTTTAATTATTCGTTGTACACTCGTTCTTTGGTATACAAACGCCGGCATCGTTACGAGCATAACCCTCATTACAAAAACAACCAGAAGGACACCTAATATATGTGGGGCATTTCTCACGAAGCGCGGCGCAAGTAGTTGGACAGATATCACATTTGCTGTAGTGTTCATTCGTTGGACACGGCAGCTCTAAAAAATAGTTTAATACAAAAAAATTTAACAAAAAAAAAAAGAATTTAATTCAAGACAACAACAAAATATAATTACTATTTATGAAAATGTAAATGAAAAAAGAATTTAAATAAATAAATAACTAAATAAAAATTAATAAAAAAAAATGAAATTTTAATTTTTGTTGATTGATTGAAACAACTAAAAAAAACCAAATTAGAAAACTAATAATTATTTTCCAAATATATTTTGGGTTGCATCATTCAAATTCATGGTTTTTAAATTAATTTGATTTTTTATATTTTCTCTTATTTTTTTTTTTGCCTCTAAATACTTACGTGTTGTTGTATCCGCTTCCTCAGCGACACTCAGTGCCGCTAAGCTGCAGCACAAAAAGACTATGCCAAAAAATTTAAACATGTTTTTCCTTGTTGTTGTTGTTTTTTAATTTTTCAAAATTGTGTTTTTTATATGATTTTTACTAAAATTAAATTTTTCCCCCAAAATTTGCAATGTTTAAAAAAATTTCTATTTGTTTTTAAGCTTTTAATTTACAGAAAATTTTTAACTTTTTTCCCAATTTTGATTATTTTCCCAATTTACAACATTTGGTTATTTAATTTTTTTTGTAAAATTTTTTTTTTTTACAAATTAAAAGTTTTTTCAAATTTTCCACAAATTGTAGTTCTTTTTTTTATAACTTTTTAAAACCTTTAACGTCTTTTAATCACAAATAACAATAGCTTAATGATCTTTTAAACCGGTTTATTCAATTTTATATGACGGTTATTTGTCATAGCTGAGCTATTTGTTGATCGACTGATTGAACAGCTGAATTTACTGATAGGTCAAGAGTGCAAGTTCAACAAGCAACTCGTTAAAAATTAAAAAAATAGCTAAGAAAAATATAAAATACATTTCAAATTATTTCAATAGCAATTTTTCATTCATACAAGTGACCCTGTGCTAGGTTCATTGCTGCGATAGTTTAGCTAAGCTAACAGTTTGAGCGACACTGTGTCACTGTCATTAGCCAATGTGGTTTAAAGAATGGCTTGTTTACTAGGTTGACCAGCTAAATGAATTAATACTTCAAATTGTTGAATTTTTTTTTTGATTTTATATAATTTTCTCTTTTATTTCGAAACCACAATTTTACAATAAAAACAAAACAAAAATATTAAATGACAGATTTTTTGTTTTAGATTTTTTGATTAGCAGCCTTTTGTAAAATTTATTGAAATTTTGTAAATATATTAAAATATATTATGTAATTAACACAATATTTTTTGTTTCTTTTTTTTGCATTTAGTTTGAATATTGTTGGCTTTAATTTGAATGATTTTTTTTCTTTTTGAAAATTTTATACGAAAAGCATAATATTTCTGATTATTTAAATGTTTTATATTTTTTTTAATAAAACATATAATTATATATATACAATTAATTATATTTGTACTGCTTGTTTCGTGGTCATTTAAAAAACAGAACATTTTCTTTTTTATTAATAATTAAACAAAAAAAAATATATAAATTTTTTTTGCTATTATTTAACACATTTTTGTAAGTTTTTTATACCAAATTTTTATTTTTTAGTTTATTTATTTATTTTTATTATTTCGTTTAACTCATTTTTAATAATTCAAAAACAGAAGTTTTTCGCTCTCCCATTGTTAAAAAGGAATTTTACGTTTTAAATTATTTAAAATTTTTTATCGCTTAATTACCTCTTTATATTTTATTTAAACCTTTTAAACTGTTAATTGCTTAATTTGCTTTTTATATTTGAAAATAAACAAATAATTTTTTACGCTATTATTTTTTTTAATTTTGTAATAATTTTTTTTTTTTCAGCAACTTTTTTATAAATATTTTTGATCGACATTTTTGCTTTGAAATCGCATTTCAATGTTCAATGAAAACCGCCTCCACGAAAGGGATTACCTTTAATAAATAATTGATTAATAACTAATTAATAGCGGTGCTTCACAAAAACTGTAGCTGATCGTATATATATGTATGTACTGCTTTAGTATAAAATCAATGTTCATAAACACGCTCAGGCTTCAGTCGATAGCTCGCAGCTCAGAATTAAACACGTATATTTTTTTCTAAAATTACAAAAAAAAATAATAATTCGCATTAAATCTTGGCTTAGACAAAAGAAAAAATTTTTAAATGTTCAGAACGTGCATATTTATTACGGTTTTTTATTGTTGCTTGGCAACATTGAGTGCGGCACAGCCAAGCTATACGAGCAAAAGTGAGTGCTGAGAAAAAAGTTTCATTTGTGTATTAAGAAATAAAAGAAAATAGTTTAATTATTTTTTTTTATCAAAATTTAAAAAAAAAAACAAATATTTCGAAATTAAAAAGGAACATTTTTATTTAATTTTTATATAAAAAATATTAAAAAAAAAATTTATTTTGTATTAAAAACTTAACTTTGAATCTGAGTAATTTATTTTTTTAATTATTTCATTTTCAATTTTATTTCAAAATCATTTTTGTATTTCATATCAGCGCCGAAGTCGTGTCCACCTCACGAGACTTACACCGCCTGCGGTGCATCTTGCCAAACTGAATGTGCCACACTGAATCAACCCTGTTATATACGTCACATTCGTTGTCCGGATGGTTGTTATTGTGATGAGGGCTATGCACGTGATGCTAACGGTGTTTGTATACCACAAAGCGAATGTTCGTCAAAGCAATAAATAAAACTATGTATTTTAAATAAACGAAAAATTGTTTAAAATAAATATTTGCAAAATAAATATATTTTCATTAGAAATATTAAAAATATAAAATGGAAAAAATATAATAAAAAAATTTTGAAAAATAAAATATTTATAATAATAAACACACAGATAAAAAATTATAGAATTTGTGAATTATTTTGTAAATATTTTTTTAAAAAAATAATTTTTTTTAATAATTTTTTTTTTCATTTTTTATATATGTATTTACAATAAAAAATACTAGTTCAATCAACTTCATATTTACTTATCTTTGTTTTAATTAGCTTTCGTGTGCTTTTATTTATTCATTTCAATTCACAATTATAGGGGACTTTTTAAATAAATGCGTACATACATATTTATTTACTTATTGTTCTTGTTTTCTTTTGTTCTTGTTTTCTTTTGTTTTTTTTTTTTTTTTTTTGTATAAGAAAGCTTTAATTTATTACTTCATGATTGTGTCCACAGTATTTAATTTGCTTTGGGCTCCAACTACGCAAATCTGTATGAGAACGCCTCAAAGTATGCAATGGGTTTTCGCATTGCTTCTACTTGCGCAAAATCTTCATTGAGTTGAATTTACGTATATTGGTTGATAGTGTGTGCCTTTACTAATTGAAAAACTGTTAACTGCCTCAAGGTTTTGCAACTGATAAGCGGTGAACTAGTGATTGTTTGGTGCCATTGGAACTGGTTTTAAACTAGTTTGCTTTAAATTTATTTAATTATTATGAATAGTTTATTTATGAAAGTTTTATGATTTCGAAATTTTCAGTATTTTTGATTCATTTGATAATTTTTTTATTTTATTTTGCATTTTTAGTTTGATACTGATGATTTGCTTTCTGGTTCATACATTTGACACGAAGAAAATAATTTTTATTTATTCGACCTTTATTTCCTGCAAATTATAATTCAGATTTTTAAAGGATATAAATTAATTTATTGTTTGTTTTTGGAAAAGGTTTTTTAAATTTTTAATATTGGAATAAATTTTTTTTTATTAAAAAAATTCAATATAAATTTTTTAAAAAAATTTTGAAATTTAAAATTTTCTTGTCTCCCTTTATTTTTTTTTCGGTCTCTACTTTACTTTTTTATTTTTCTATACCTTGTTTGGTTTATGCGATATTCCAGTTTTTCATCAAAAACGCCGAATTTCGTAGGTTTTCAAGAATTTAACTTATGTATTTTCAGTTTTTCTTACTATTTTTGATATTTTTCGAAACTATATGATTTTTCAGTTTCTATTTTCTTTCTTCATACTTCATCAAAACTCCTTTTGACTCGATTTTCTCAATCACTTCTTTGACGTTGGCAACTTCCCACCGATCAACTATCAAATATATCACTTTACTCACCACACCTGTGCCAATGGGCCAACTGACAGGTAAACCAGTTGTTGCACTTTTACCACTACAACTACCAACAACAACACTGAATAATCAACAATAACAAATACCAGAGTTGACCACCACAAGACTTTACTTTGCCATTCGGCCGCTCACAGCAATCAGTTCTCTTCGGCAGCGCGAGCGTGTTACAACATTGAAAATTCTTTAAGCGGCAAAACGCATGCGCAACCGACCAATTTACCAATACAAGCATAGCCAATCACACCGATGGGGTGTTGTGTGTGAAATACGGCTGATGTGCGCGTGTGCAGAGAAGAAAAAGTTGGAAAAATATATGTATATGTAAAGTGTGCGAGCGAAAAAATGCAGAAATTTGTTAGAAATTGTGAAAATTCCTCAGAAAATGTGTAAAAATGTGAGCGAGGAATGATTTTCCAAAGCGAAAAGTATTTGTGTAACGCGAAAAAAAGGCACAAAAAATTGTCTAAAAGAAATTCAAATTTTTCCAATTGCAAAAAATGCGCAATGGTTGTGTTGGTAGCGAGATAAAAGCAGCAGAGGAAGAAGAAAAAAGAGCGAAATGGCAAAAATATAAGAATTCCAATAGCAAACGTGTCGCCAAAGCGCCCGAAGCGGCAACGAAGAATGGTAGAAAAACAGAAAACGAGTGCGAGAAAATCAACACAAAGTTTTTATTTGGAAATCACATTCGGGAAAAATAATGAAAAGTGTTGGAAGATTTATTGAAAATCCCTGAGAATTGTTTTAAAGTGTATTGGTGGCATAAGGAGTGTAGAAAATGGCAAAATTACTTTGTTTTCAAGTGTTTAAATAACATGCAACATTTTGTGGCACACATTCCAACAGCAGAAAAAATACGTATTTGTACACAAACATATTTACTACAGGGCGCTCACGAGCAGATTCGTTGATGGGAGAGCACTTATGGTATGTAAAGAGAGCATTGGGGATAATTAGAATGAAATCAAGTAAATGCAATTGAATTAAATAAAATAAAAAATTGAATAAAATGAAAAAATTAAATTAATTGAAATTAAATTGAATAAAATAAAATAAAATAAATAAAGAAAAATTAAGTAAAATGCAATAAAATAAATAAAAATTATATTAAATTAAATTATATTAAATTAAAATTATTTAAATTAATACATATTGAATTAAATTAAATTAAACAAAATGAGTAAGAATAATATAACGAAAAAATAAAAATCAATTAAATTAAATATCTAATGTTCATTAAAATAAAATTAAATTAAATAAAAACTTAAACTGAAAATAAACAAAATTTAAGTAAATTAATTCATATCACATTAAATGAAAAAATAAAATACACCATTATAAAAATTTAAAAAAATCACATAGAAATAATTAAGTAAAATAAAGAAATTAAATAAAATTAAATTAATAAATGTAAAAATAAAATAAGATAAAAATAAATTAGATTTAGCAAACTATATAAAAAATAAATTAATGTTAAATATAATAAAATATTATTATATTCAATAAATTAAAGTTAATAACTTAATTTAAAAAATTTAAAGAAAAAATTTAGCTATTATTAAATAAAATTAAAATAAATTAATACGTATTACATTAAGGGGAAAAAGTAAATAAAATGAAATTAATAAATGAAAGTAAATAAAAAAAATTAAACAAAACTAAATTAATTTAAATTAAATTCTACTAGATTAAACTGATTCAAAAAAATTGAAATTATTAAATAAAAGTAATATAAATAAATAAAAAAATTAAGCAAAAATAAATTAATTTAAATTAAATTATATTATATTAAAAAATTAAACAAAAATAAATTAATTTGAATTAAATTATATTATATTAAATTATTTCAAAAAAAAATTGAAATTAATAAATAAAATTAAATAAAAAAATTAAAAAATTACACAAAAATAAAACAGTTTAAATTAAATTATATTAGAAAAATTCATTCAAAAAAACTGAAATTAATAAGTAAAAGTAAAATTAAATTAAACTATATTAAGTGATATTAAATTAAGTTAAATTAAATTAAATAAATAAAAATAAAACAGGAAATATTAAACTGATAAAAAAATAAAAAATTAAAAGTATATAATTATTAAGAAAAAAATGTTTTAACACAATATTTTTTAATGAAAATTGCAGATTTTCTCTTAACGTTTTTTTCTTTCTTTATTATTTAGAAGCATTTTCGATTTACCAGTCTTTTTTCTGTTCTTTTGCGTTATTTTTTATTTTTGTATATTTTGCTTTTCCAATTTTTGGTGTCACATTCCACAAACGAATGTCAAAATTATGAAAAAAAATACTCAAAAAAAAGCACGCGCAAAAAGATGACACAGTAACAGTGGCAGTCATACAAAATATTTTTCTGCTATAATATGAAGAAAACGCAAAAGGAGCAGAACAAGTTGTGTAACTTGTTTAGCACAAAAAAAAAAAAACTAAAATAATAATAATAATAACAATGTCAGCACTCATTGAGCACTTATTGGTCTTTTTTTCTGCATTATTTCCACATTTCATGCATTACAAATGCAATGCAACACAAAAAAAAAATAATAATAAAAGCAATAGCAACACAATGGCACATTTTCACGGCTGCAATTGACGATTGCCCAGCTCTTACTGTGATCTGCACGCGCCATTAAATTGCTTTATTATGCAGAAAAATGCTAAAAAGTAGAACAGAAATATATGCAAATGCAAATGATATATATGGATTTTTTTTATAAATAATTCAGCATTAACCAATTTTTTTTTGCGCAGCAAAATCGCCGCCAAACAGTCTGCTGTGACTTTGGAAATTATTCCGACTTCGCAGGTGTCAATCATTTAATTTATTGCGCTTGATTGTTGGTGTTTTTGCAAATTTGCAATTGGCTATTTATGTATAGTTGCATACTTGTATAGTTGTATAGCTGTTTTTGTGTTTTTGCCTCACAAGTTCATGAACACTTTTGCTTTAAAGTCCGCTCACACTCCCACTTCGGTGCAGGTTCGTCGCTTAAGTCTTTTGTTTTTATCGCGCAAAGTGTTAATGTACGCGTGTGATTGTTTAGGCGAATGTATGGGTGGATGTTTGTTTGCATATGTGTTTGTGCGCGCAGGCGTTGCAATTTCATGCTTGTTGTTGTTTTTCGTTTTTTTTTAGTTTCTTTTATTTTTTGTTTTTTCATTTTTGCTCGATACAAGCTAATTAACCACTTGTCACTGCCATGTCAGGTTTGTTGTAATATTGTTGTTGTTGTTGTTGTTGTTGTTGTTGTTGTTATCGGCGTTGCTCGCTTTTTTATTTTTAATTGTTTATGCGATAAAAGATGGAAAAATTGAAAGGTGACTAATTGGCGGTAAAAATGAAAGATTCTCTGCGGTCGCGCTGATTTCTCTGTTATCCATTTCAGAATTTATTTACGGTGTTCTTCGTTTTTATTGGGTAAAGAGTGGGAAAGTTTGAGATGTAATAATAAAGAAAGGTTTTTCACTCTTCTATTTTTATTATTTATTTCTGTCGTTTATTTATTAATTTTTTTTTTTTTTTTTTNTTATTTTATTTTATTTTATTTTATTTTTTCTTAAACTTTATTTTTTTGATTTTACTTTAACTTTGTATATTTAAATATTTATCTTCAAGATATATATATATATATATATATTTGGACCAGCAGAAACAAATAGAATAGATAGACAGACCTATAATTATCAAAATGAACACCCCCTCAAGTCATAAATTAAGATTTTAACCCAAATTAACCTAATCAAAAATTATAATTCAATAAAACCACATTTTATTGATGGCATACGAAAGACTAGAGCAAAAGAGAAGTACAATAACGCCAAAAAAAATACAAAAATAATTAAAATTTTTAAATTAATGAGACAAAAATCTAAAATATTTGACAATATCCCCGGCTATTCATTATCGAGCTACACAAACTAGTCTAATATCACAACCCGTGATCGAAATTTTTTAATTTAATTACTTTCCTTAACTCTTCTTTAGGTAACAGAAAAGAAATGCCGAAACATTTGAAAATCATAAAAGAAGAAAAAATACTTGAAACAGATTTGAAATAGTGAGGTCATTTGGATCTGAACAAAATTGAATTAAAACTAAAAAAATTTAATTAAAAAGGAAGAATAATCTTAGAAAAATATTTAAAAAATTAAAAAAAAAACTAGTGACTTTTAGGAATTAATATATTTTTTTTTTTTGTTCCAAATAAATATTTTCACCTTAAAATATAGTTAAAGTACTCGAAAATTGTTTAAAAATTATTTTATAAAATTTTTAATTAAAAAAATTTAATTATTGAACATAAAAAATCAACTAAAAAATACAAATCCGTCGTTTTTTTCCATTACAACTTTCGCAATTATGGAAATCTTTTGTCTGTTCGCAGTTTTTACGGTTAATAAATCACACAACACCAGCTACAGCCACGCCATGCAGACGAAGGCAACAATTGACACTTAACAAAACTTCAATTAAAACAACAAAGCATTTAAAAATTTACTAATATGTATTTAACAATAGCAGTAAATTCCTGTTACGTCATCAATGCCAACTGTGAGCAAAATGCTAAACTCAAGAGCACACACTTACACAACCTATGTATGTTTGTGTAAAAAAGTGTAGTGTTGGCCTACCCCTTAGCTTGATTTTTATTGCTAATTTTGTTCTTTTTTTCATTTAGGTCAGCGTAAAGCACAAAAGACTTAAGCAACAAACTTGCCGAAGACGCAAATATAAATTTAGTTATTTGAAAAAATTAAAATTTGCCAACAGCATTAAAAAAAATTTAAAATTATGTTCTCTATATAAAATTTTTATTCTTTTTTGAATTTTTTAATTTGTTTTAAATTATTTTATTATTTTATTTGCTTAAAATTTAATTCTATTCTCTCAGTTTATAGTGAACTTTTGTATTTTTTTAATCTTTTTAATTTGTTTCGCTTGCTTTTTTATTTAAATTTTTTTTCGCTTTGTGCATTTTCCTTTTTTTTTTGCTCTAAATTTTATTTAATTTTATTTTATTTTATTTAATATAATTTTTTTGTTTTACTTTAATTAATTTTAGTTTATTTAATTTTTTTATTTATTTTATCTTCGTATCTCTTACTCCTGTTTTTTTTTAGTTTACTTTACATTTGTATTTACTTTATCTAATTATATTTTTATTTTTTTTTTATATTAAATTAATATTAATTTTAATTAATTTTGTTTTCAATTTCTTGACTTTATTTTATTTTAGATTTATTTATTTTAACTTTTTTCTTTAAATTATTTTAAATTTGTTAAAAGTTTGGAAAAAACTAAAAACTCGATTCCCGTTTAAAAATAATACCGTTATCGGAGTATATGTCAAATGAGTTTGTCAATTTTATTAACATTTAATAATTTCAACATTTTCATTTCTTTTTCTCCAATTTACTATCAACAAATTATAAACATTTAAGCCGTAATTTAATATTTTTTTACATATTTTTCGCGCAGCAAAAAAAATGTATTTTTTTTTAATGTTAAGAGATAAACTTTAATTGAATTTTGTTTTCGGTAGTCGAGGAAAATTTTAATTTTTTTTAATTTGTGTTTGCGTGTGTGTGCATATATTAGCTTGTATGTTTGTATGTGTGTAAAGTGGCTGATGGTTAATTGACATGCCGCTGAGTGGTAGTGGCAGGCAGGTGTGTTACACACACACTAACACTTACACGTACACACAGCGAGCCCAATGTAGGCGCTAAGTGTATGTATGTGTTCCAGTAAGCATTTCGGTCAACAATTTTCGGCTGCTGTTCTGATTGTTTTTTTTTTTTTTTTTTTTTTTTTGTGTATTTTTTTCTTCGCCTTCTTCTCTTCAAACGTTTCTGTTGCACTTCTTGTTCCGATATTCGATTATCTACCGCGCGCATGAGAAGTGAAAGGCCAAGGCGCTATTTGATATTAAATTTTTCTAATTATTTTTTACTTAAATAAATACTGTGAAGATAGTGATTAAGAAAATTGGAAGAAGATTGCTTGAGTTGGATAGAGGAGGTGAAGGATCTGCTGGCTGGAGAGTGTAGTATTTATCTTTATGCGGTGTGTACGTAGTAGCTGAGTGAGAAGTGAAAGGCGGCACAGGTGCGATAAATAACGGTTAAATAATCACATACACGTGATTACAAATTTTCATTAAACTTTCTGTTTATTTTTAATAGCGAGCCAGTTGATTTTGAGGGGGTCAAGTAAGTATTGCTTAGGTGTGCAAATTTGGGAGGAGCGAAATCGCTTGAAGATTCTCGAAGCTTGTTGCCTTTCTTTAGCGATCCTTGAGCTTGAACCACCTTATCGTTTGTTTCTATTGAGTTTCCTCGCCACTTGGGCACTGCTGGTAACTGTGGCACCTGTCTAGCTTAGCGAAAAGTGTCACTACCGTAGCCGCATGTTCGGTCTCTCTTATCTCTTTCATGTTAACAGGTGTTTCCAGAGTCATTTGCTCACAACTTCTAACAACGGTTTCAGTCATGTGCAAAGCTATTAAGAACGGTTTCCATTTCTTCAACCAATAATTAGTTTAAAAACACATCCATCCATTTTCTCTCATTAAAATATCATTTTTACGTCAATTAACGGCATTTAAAACAGCGCGTAATATTTTTTATTTCCCAGGTAAAACTTCCGCGATTTACTGTTAATATTTTCAACGCAGAATTTTTTCTTTTTAATTCTTTTATTCTAACAATTTTCTACCACTTCTACCGCTCTTGTTGGTGCTACAATTATTCTCTTGCTTAGTTTTTATGTCATCACGCTCATTGGTGCTGGGTATTGATGTTGTTGTTGCGGTTTTCTATTTTCTCCTATTGGCATTTCCATTGTAAACATTCTTTGTACGTCCACTGCTCACCGCTGCCAATTTCTATAACATCGGCATACGAAAACACGCAGCAAAATTCACTGCGATTCGCCTAGCGTTCTTACACATTTGCGCCAATTATATCTGCGAAGAATAAGACCAAATAAAAAAAATCTCTTTGATTGAATTTCAAATTATCTAAATGCTAAAAGGAATAAAAACAACATTTTAGTGCCTATAATAAGCAGGAAAAAAAAAACAAAACAAATGAAAAAATCCAATAAATATTCCGGAACACTGACGCCACCATATCCACACATGGAACCACACAGCCGCCAAGAAGCTCATGTCCACTTTTAACATGAAAGCAGCCGCAAAGTGATTTTTTCTTTCATATTTATAATTTTGTTTTTTTTTTTTCTTCCTCTGTTTGTGGCTACTCACTTTCGACTTGTATTTACCCAGCCTTATATGTCTACTTACAGTTTGATTTGCTTGTTGTTAACGCGTTGATGACAACTACAATAAGAATAGAAGGTTTATTAAATTTCACGATCTACTTTTTTTTCTTTTTTTTTTCGCGGTCCCTTTTCATCTCTCCACTGCCCACTGTCCGCTAACCACTGTTTTCTTTTTCGATTTCCGCTTCTTATTAAGTAGTCCATCAGATTTGGCAGTTAGCTGCGCAGGCTGATGAAAGTTGAAGATTTGATGATTAATGTGGAGTAGCAGCTAAAATTGAAATAAAAATAGAAGAGAAGATAGGGAGCAAAAGTAGCGCAGTAAATCTATTAAAACCATTGACTGCAGCTAGAATAATTTGAAGTTGCAGAGACTGACCTGAAAATTGTTGTTTTCTGCTCATTACAATTCCACGTGCTTTCTAAAAAGCCGCTCGATATTGAGTTTTGCAGGTTTGCAGTTAGTAATCGATAACAACCGATTCTCTGGACATTCAAAAATCAAAGCATAAGGACAGGTTCACACGACAAAAGCAATTTGTTTCAAGTTCTATTTTTTATGTTCAACATTTTTAATTATTTACATATATTAAAATTTATTTGCTGAAAATGTTACCTAAAACCATCTTTTAAAGGTATTGAAATTTCAAATTTTATATTTCCTCTTTTAAATTGTTTTGTGCCCACTCAATGCCACACAAACTAATTGGCAAGCACCAATATTGCAACACTCACGTTGCAAATCTTCACTCTTTGCGATTTCCTGCTTACCTGGTCATGACCGTTGTGCAGCAAAAGCAAAGCTACAGTCATTAAAACTGTCAAACAGCAGCTCGTTCGGCAGTTAAATGTGTCAAAGTGATGGAATTTTAAATATTTGCTTAAGTTTTAATGAATTTTTACGCAAACTTTTTTTACCATTTTAACAACAATTGGAAAGCAAAATATTTAAAAGATGCATAAATGTCAAACAAAAATATTACGAATGATGTTACATAAATTTAGTGTTGCAATGCTTGTGTTATATGTAAAATGTGCTCAGCACATAGTTAACTGAGCTGTCAACTAACAACTGTCAGCTGTCAAAAATTAAAAATAAAAATTATAAAAATCAGCTGTTTGCAATTATGCATTTATGTTGCTGGCAGTGAGACTGCGCACAGTAGCCGAAGAATAGCAAAGAAAAAAGAACGAATAAATTTAAGTAAACATAAAAAATTGCGCTGCGTAATTTTGACGTCAAAATGGTATGCAAAACAGCCAAAAATGCTCGAATATGCTTTCGGCACTTTATTGGCACTTATTAATGATTTCCTTTTACACGAAAACAGCACGCATGTTTGCATAATTTTTCACTTAACTCGATCTCTTGTTGTTGCACACTCCCGCTTCCAACGGCCGTTTTATCCGTTTTAACAACATTGTAGCAGTTTCCTTGGGGCGCAAAGAGAATTCACAACATTCTTTTGGGTAGAATTTTTTTTTTAAATTTTGCTGTAATTTTTTTTTATTTTTTCATTCGCCTAACCATGTGTGCCCTTTAGCTGCCATCATTTCTTTTGCATTATTTCTTTTTTTCTTGTTTTTCATACACAAATTCGTCTGCTGAAATGTGTGACAAATGACTCTAATTTGCCGCTAGCGATGTATAAACTAAAACAACAACAGACAAGCAACCACTCACTCACTATTGACCGCTCTTTACCGTGGCATTTCTTTTCATTAAAGCTGCTTATCACATATTTAGGTATTTTTGCCGCTTCGCGCAATGTGTAATACTATATTTATGCATAAAAGTAATGCACTTTGAACGTTCGAAAATTAATAGTCTGTCATTTGCTCAATATATATTGGCAATCCGCTTGATTCGCAAAGTTTGGCCAATGGCGCGAATCTGACCACCGTCGTAGCGGTAGCATTGGAAAGCCGACACCGTTACGTCGCGTACGTGTTTCGCTAAAAATGCATGATCGTTTTTTATGAATACATCAAAACGATTGAGTCATAAAAATTTATTACATATAACGAATTTATAATTTCTTACCTTAGGTAAGATATGATTTTTCATCCGACTACTTCACGCTTTTGCGCACGACTATAACAAATGCAACGCTGTAAGCGTAAATTTTTGGTAATAAAAAGCACAAAAAAGTTCACTGTACCGTTATTAACAGTTTATGCCATGGTATTTTGTGGTACCAGGGATCTTATAACTGTAACTGTGTATTGCTTTGCGAGGAAACGAGGCACTTAAAGCAATTACTTTTATCACCTAAGATTCTTTAAGCACAAATAACACTCAATTGGCTATATTGAAGTCATTAAAAGTGACTTTTCTATTCCACTTCTAATTTTTCTAACGCTTAGTTTACTTCTCCGATTTCCCACACTTCTAAGTTTTCGAACGTTTGCCGCTTTTTATGAACTAAACGACACTTTATTTCACTTCCGATTATTGTTATGGTGAGGGTTCTGGAATTGCCATTTCTGAAATATCGAATTCTTGTTGTTCTTTCCAAATACTTATTCCATTTTTAAAATTACTAACTTTGCTTATCTGATATTTGAAAAAAAAATTTACTTTGTACGCTTAATGAACTATTCATATCTAAATCAATGCATTATCTTCACTACACAAAAAAAAAAAAACGTTGAAAGTTTTTCAGTCTCTACGTTTTTTCATTATTTTAAAAGCTCTTACTTTGTGCGCTTAATGAAGTGTCCATTTCTTCTTAAGGCTGATCCTCACTCCGTCAGAGACATTGTCAATCTTAAATTTACGCCATTCTTAGTCACTCAAACGCTTTGTTTTGCAGCAAGCAAGTGCGCATCAAGCTCTCTAAAAAAAATTTTCTCAGAAAAAAGTAATCACTTTCAATGATATAATGCCGCTAAGATCACAGCAAGTATTTTCAGAAGATCTTCAATGCAAATACATACATATATATACACCAAGTATATGCAGAAGCGGTTGAGCGTACACTTAGCTATGCGTTTGTCACATGTCGCCGCCAAAAAAGCAAATAAAAAAAACAAAGAAATGAAAAAAATCGTAATTTATTTGCGTATTCAATTGTCAACTTTGACGTAAAGGCCATAAAGTGCAATGTTTTGACAGTACAACAGGCGAAGGAGAATGTGTAGGTAGTCGAATGTTGAAAAACGTACAATGTCGTAGCGAATATTTGCGATTTGTTGTGTTAAAAGAATTGGAAATGGAGTTGATAAATGTATGCATGTTTGCAGAAATTGCAATTCTCCATTTCAGGTGAAAAGTGGTAGCAAATATTTATGCATTCCATTAGATTTGCTGGCCGACGAAAATTGTGTTAACGTAGTGGTGAGTAAAAAATTTCACAAAAAGTGCTGGGCACGAAATCAATTTTGATATGTTTTTTTTTTGTGCTGTAATTGCTTAAATCTCGTCACTACAGCACTTTCGGCGTGTTGCTTGCACAAAGGTCATTGACAATAAATGCACGGTCATTGTTGCGCAAACAAACTTAATCCAACTTTTAGAAGAATGCTGAGTAATATTAGCAAACACATACGCAGTTTCGTTTTATTTGTAAAGGAAATGAGTTCAATTAGTTCAATTCACGAAGATATAAAATGAAAACTAATGCGTAGCGAAGATAAATACAAAACCATAGTTGAAGCGATGGTTTCAATCATCGATAACTTGGGGGTAGTAACATTAAGCTGAGTGCACACATTCAATGATTTTCTTTTTATTGATTTTATTTGAATGTTAAGCTGTTTACTTTCTTAGTTATTTATTTTTGTTTTTATTCTTTATTTATTTATTTTCATTAATTCTTTCTTTTTTCCATTTTCAGTGGCGCCACTTGTGAAATATTAAAATGAAAAATGTCTCGTCTCTTAAGTATTTACGGTCTTTGTATTTATTGTTAATTAAATTTCAACTATATCAATGACGAACTATGAGAATTTACTTAATTTGCCGCTTAATTGCAATGCAAATGAAAATACCGGCGCGTTGGCTACGCAGGAAATTTTAAAAATGTCACAACGGGATTTTTCGGAGGTGAGTAAAGTGAAAGAAAATCCATTTTTTACTCATAGAATATTTTGAATTTTGCTCGTGGCCGTAATTATTATTTCATTCGTTGTTGGAGAAACTTGCTGCAATTGGAGAACCAAAAGACACCTTATCCCCCTAATTTATATTTGAATAAACAAAATTAATGAAAAAAAAACCAAAATAAAAAACAAATGCGCCTCAGCACACATTCTTGTTGCACCGAATTCTCAAACTTCCCAGAATCGACGTGCAACGAATTCAATTAAAATAAACTGTATGCAAATTAAGCATTGCCTGTAAAGCACGTCTCCTACAAAAGCAAAAAAAAAAAATAATAAATAAATACAAAATTAAAAAAAGCTCCAGCGCTCTGGCAACTTGCTTACTGGGCGGCCAGTGCACGGTTGCATTGCACAAGTGAAGAAAATCAGAAAAAAAAAACCAAGCAGCATGTAACTGTGCTATGCGGCCCAACTGGCTGACAGTGGCATATGAGTAAAGTGCTAAACACAAATGACAGCGACACAGCGACAGACTGTCAAGGCGATAGGCGAGTTTGGCGAGGGAGCGCACGGCCCAACGAACGACTAAGAACGCCGGGTTAATAGATAGCGCAGGAACCTTTTATTTTGTGCACTCATTGTTACGCTGTTTATTTCGATTTTTCTTTTTTTTTCTGAGATTTTGAGATTTTGCAGTTTGTTTTAATTTTGTATTTTGCTTAATTCTTTTGGTTTCACAAGTTTTCGACTTTTTCAGTTTAGTTTTCCAATCACGACTCAACCATTAAATGCATTTTAACTGATTTTAAATTAAATACCTGAAATGGACAATCACGACAAGTAGAAGAACTTGCTGACTGACTGACTGACTGACAATCTGTTTTTGGTGTTTTTTATTTTTTTGTTCTTAACTTTTTTCTAGCATTTTTCATGTGAATAAACAAAGTTTATTTTTTTTTAATTTTTTTTTTTTTATCATCGGTATCGGTGCTTAAATGTTCGGTGATTGTTTGTAGATAAATTTTCAAGGAAAATAATTCGAAGAAAATAAAAATCAAATTTAAAAGTCGATATACATTAATTGCTGGCAAGCTTAAGCGGGCAGTGCTTGACAGTTGATCTGACGTACTTCAAAACTGCAAAGCGGTAGCTCAAGCATGGCATGGAAGGTATTTCCTGTCAACAAATTTTATGGTATGTGGAATTTGGATGGTAAAACACTTAAATTCAAGGCACGTATGGAACCCAAGGGATTAATATTATTTTACACCGTTATCAGCAATCAGCACACAAAATAAAAGAAATAAACAGAAATAAGTGTGAAAAAAATGCTAAAAGTGCGTGGAAGGCGAACGAGAGAGCTGGAGCTCATACAACGAAGATTGGATTTGAGAGGCTTGCATTCTGCTGATTATTGTTGGATGGGCTAGAAACACATCACAGCTAAAGCAAAATAGCTTTTTCTTCTTCTCTTTAACATGAGATACAGCTCTTGTTCACACCGCGCCTTAAACGCAAGCCGGACTTTCAGCTGGACAAAGCGTCAATGAGGGAAATCTTAAGGAAAATCCGTGGCTCCGGACGCCATCTAACTCCATAGAGAGTCTCTAGTATGAGAAAAACTCCACGAATTTTAATTTATAGCGCCCCAGGCGATAAAAAAAAAAAAAAAAAAGTTTCACCCCCTGCGGGTTAGGGGCTCAAGAATTTACCCGCGGTGAGGCATGCCTGTCGTAAGAGGCGACTAAAATCCAATAGTTCTCGCGACAGTCGGGTCTTTATACCGGAACGACCCGGATTTTTATCCGGCCAAGGACTGTCACTCCCGCAACATTCCCCAAAAAGTACTTTGGGGAATAATTTTGCGGTTACAACAACAACAACATAAAAAAAGTTTCCGCTCGAAGATGGAAGGTGATGAAGGAAAACTGTGATGCGTTACAGTCCTTGAAGAAAGGACGCACTCAGCATGAGCAGAAGGGGCAGGAAAATTCCTAGAAAATTTGCAAATCTTTCGGTGCTGAAAATAAAGAGAAAATGAAGGAATGCATAAATATATGGAGCTTGTCAGAGGCGGCGAAAATTAAAAGTAACTCTGTTTGGGCTCTGGCAGGTAGCAATAAAAGTGACAAAACGAAAATAAGGCTGTTGACGAACATTTTCGGTGACACGCGGTCAAGAAAGCTCCCATTTAAAAAAAAGACTCATGGCCAGAACTTGTCGGTGGGCCTTATATGGCGTTCTCTAAAAACAAAAAAGGCTCAAATTAAAACGCACTCACCTTAAGAAGTATGTCCTGGAGATGAACTTATGCTATCCAGCAGGCCTTCGAAAGCGTTCTCTGCAACCAAACAAGGAAAATAATAAGGAAGGCCTGAGGTTCTCCATACGTACCAGTTACACACTGGTATTTCAGCCAACACCTTTCGCAACATACAAATACCTGCCTTCCGTCACACCACCGCCATAAACGACTTCCAACGGCTCGAACTCACACCAACCCGGTGCGAGCTCTTGGTATGTCCTTCAAACATCCGGAGCTACCAGTTCTTGCCACAAGCGAGCTAAGCGGCTGCTCTAATTCCAAGCGCGAAATGGAACAACAACAATAACAAAAAACACTCTGGGCGGTATAAAAGAAGAATGTGTGGATCTGTGTGAATGTTAGAAAAACTCGTTTTAACGATTTTAATCGGTTTGCCATCAATACGATATCGACATGAGAAATACAATGCGCGCAGCAGCAGCAGCAGCAATGAACAAAGAAATAAGAAGTTGCAAAAACGACAATAACAACGGCAACGAGAGCAGAAAAAATATCAAATACAGAAATAGCAACGCCTTTTTATGCGGACGAGTATCGAGGACCATGCGGCTGTGGCGTAAAAACAATGCCACAAAAAGCGAAACACTAAAAATCAATGGCAAACGGATCCAAGGCGAGACGAGACAAAGTGAAGTGAAGCGAGCGAGCGAGACGAGACTGGGCTTAGTTGTGGCTGTGGCTCAGTTGAGAATTGTGTTTGTGGCTGTGGCTGTGACGCTGTGTCGCTGTGTCTAAAACTGATATTGACGTTTCAGCCGGCCCACAAAGCGCGCTGACAGCGGCAACCACGCTCCCCTACAGCATCGAGCGGAGACCATCAGCGCAACTTATTGCAGCTTCTTAGCTTTGTATATTTTTTTTTTTTAATTTTTTTTAATTTTTGTTGCTCTCCATTGAGGTTTTAAATGTAATTCGATGATTGTAAGCAGATTTTGACGTGACTTGATGCAGTGTGGAGCGAGCTCAACGACGGCCAGCGCGACCGCAAGACGCAGCGTGCAAATCAAACGACGAACTACGCTTGTAAGGATAGAGAATGGAGAAGAAATAAGACAAAGCAGGTAATCAAACAGAAATAGCAAACTCATTGAGGCGCGCAGGAATCAAATGGCGCAGCGCATCGCAGCGTTAAAAAGATAGCGAATGAAAAAAATTTAAATTAAATTTTAATCTCGACATGCGCATCAAAGGTGCAGGTAATCATAGCAAAAAGGCAGTCAGCCGGGAAGCAGCGAACAAACCAAACTGAGGCACAAAGCCATAGCTGCAGCTAAAGCAATAAAATCGAGCAGTTAAGCGCACGCGGGTGAGCTTGCCGGCTGACTGACTGACTAGCTAGCCGGGTAGCCACATATGCCCAAGTGACTAGTACATGTGCTGTTTGAGTCAAGCTTATGCGGTGAAGCAAGCAACCGACGAACACCAGCGTCGGCAGGTGTACTCTACTCGGACCGAGGCAGGAGGATGCAGTCCGGCGGTGCTGCCGTCCACATGAGCTCTCAAGCTCCGTAAGGATAAATAGAAATGTACATGTGTCTTCAGCACCTCGCTAGCCATACTGCCTTCTTGGTTGTTTCGTCTGCCTTTATTTATAGTTTAGACTGCCGATTAGTGGACTTCCACTTTTTTTAAGCACTTTTTCGCCTTTTTTCCTTTATTGCTTTGTATTTAATTAAGACTCCATCAAGCGTGAAATCGACCGAAGATGAAGCGTAAAGTGTAATAAAAGTCGAAAATAGGGAAAGAGATTTGCATGGTAGGGAAATAAAAGTCTTGCAGACACCAACTGCCAACTATTCAAGAGCCTCTCCTCATGCCGCTTAGGGTTACGCTAGAAGTTGTAGCAACTGGGAGTCGTAAGGACTTAAAGAGTCTGAAAACTCTCAATAAAAGGCTCCGAGCCAGTAAAGTTAGTCAACCTAGTTGTGTTGATTAGGGATCTAAATGATTTAGAACCTTTTACTTAACGAGGTGCCCTATCGAGTACCACCACCCTCTCCCAAAGCGTCAGACAAGCAGACAAGCATTTCCTGATGTCTAGATCGAGCGACATCTGCTTTTATTTAACGGGGTCTTCTCTTGAGCAGCAACTTTTCCGGCAACCCTCACGTCTGGTTGAAGGGACTTCTCCCCTTTTTTACAAAGTTCTTGCAGACTCCTCGGCTTTCAGCGCCTATTGAAAGTCAGTCATCGCAATTAAACATTTGTGAGGAGCAGTGCCTTTAACTTACCGAGATCTCTCATGGTGTATAACCCAATTTTCCCATTGCACCAGCCGAGAGTTCGTTAACTCAGTTGCCTGGATGAAAAAGGCAAATGAGCTGGTCGATTTTATTTAACACGGTATCCTCCTTTCTTTTTCACAAAACAGTCTATCAACTCAAATGTCTTAAAGATTTGGAGCTCATCCTTTATGTTCCATCTAAAATAAGGTTCCGTCTAAAATAACACCGCCCTTTATCAAGGCGTCAGTCGAAAGTTGCCAAACCAAATGGCTAGAAGAGGTGGGCATTCTCACCCTTTTTTACGGCTCCGATTCACAGTCCATTAACCCAGATGTAGGCATGAGGGAGATGTCAGATCCGCAATCGCCCCTAGAGAAAAGCGAGTGCGATTTCTCAAAGCAACAGTTATAAAATCGCCAACCCAGATGTCTAGATGAAAGCGACAGCTTC